CCGAATGCCTGCCAACCACATTTCGTTTAGAACCGTGATGGCGCAGTGGTTAGAGTGCAATACTGCAGGCTACTTCTGCTGACTGCCGGCTGCCAGAAGTTTGGCAGTTCAAATCTCACCGGCTCAAACTCAGCCTTCCATCCTTCCAAGGTCAGTAAAATGGGGACCCAGATTGTTGGGGGCAATAGAGAGGGCTATAAAGCACTGTGAAGCGATATATAAGTCTAAGTGCTGTTGCTATTTAACACGCCATTCAATTTCCTTTATTGTATCAGCTTCCATTGAGATCCATTGGCCAAGGTATATGTAGTGGTCTACCATGTCTAGTTCTTCTCCAGATATATACCTACTGTGTTTCCCCCAAAATAAGATCGGGTCTTATATTAATTTTTACCAAGAGACGCATTATGGCTTATTTTCCAGTTAGGTCTTATTCTGGGGGAAATACAGTACTAAATGCCTCAGTCTGGCTGACGATCTTAACTGGGGCTTATTTTGGGGGTAGGGCTTATATTACGAGCATCCTGAAAAAATCATGCTAGGGCTTATTTTCCGGTTGGGTCTTATTTTCAGGGAAACCGGGTACTAGTAAATGAATAATACTAAGAAGATGGCATGGCATTTGCTCATGCAAGATAAGAAGTGGCAATTTAAAATCCCCATGCATGGCATGTTTGTGTCTGCTTATACATGTGAATTTTATACGGTTCTGAGTTCTAAGAAAAATGTGTGTGTGTGTGTATGTGTAGATGAGTATTTTGGGTAGATACAATATAGATTTGAATTAGAATAGAATTCTTTATTGGCCAGGTGTGAGTGGACACACAAGGAATTTGTCATCGATGCAGAAGCTCTCATTGTACATAAAAGATATAAAGTGATAAATCATGACCATAATCATCATAAAAATACATTCATCATAAACAATAAACTTGTTTATAGAACATAAACATAAACATAAACTTATTGATAGAATCAACATAAACTGCACTAGGAAACTAAATTAAACAATATAAATAGTAAAGATACAAATAACAAAGTTATAGTCATAAGTAGAAAAGGAGATAGGTAATAGGAAAGATGAGAAGAATAATATTAATTCAGTCTTACTAAATAGTTTGACAGTGTTGTGGGAATTAGTTGTTTAGCAGAGTGATGACATGGGGGGAAAAACTGTCCTTGTGCCTACTTGTTCTGGTGTGCAGTGCCTTATAGTATCATTTTGAGGGTAGAAGTTGAAACTATTTATATCCAGGATGTGAGGGGTCTGTAGATATTTTCAGCAATGGGCTTCAAAAATTTTAGCAAGGGGTTCTCTGCCCGGTTGCTGGGTGAGCGTGGCCTAGTCGGCCACCTGCACCATGGTGGGGAGGTATTTTTGCCCTCCCTGTGCTTCGGAGGCTTTCCTCAAGTCTCTGGGAGGGCAAAAACAGCCTCTCCAGGCTCCGGAGGCCCTCTGGAGGCCGGAAACGGGCCTGTTATCGGCCTTCCCGAACTTCCAGTAGGCCTGTTTTTCACCCTTCCCGAGCCTCCATGTGCACCCTGCATTTACCTGCATCCTAAATGGGCTGCATGGGGACTCCTGGGAGGGGCAGGGTGGGCAGGGCCAGCCAGGAGTGGGATTTGTGGGTTTTCTGAACCGCACAGAATTTTAGCTAGAGGTTCTCCCGAACCCTTGCGAACCACCAGCAGCCCATCCCTGGATATTTTCACAGCCCTCTTTTTGACCCATGCAGTATACAGGTCCTCAATGGCAACTTAACATGGCAGTTTAAACTCAGATCCTCCCTTACCTCTGCTCAGGATTATACTAGGCAAATTCATTTCATTTTATGCATCCTGCAACTGATAATTGTATGATAGCATAATCTGAATCTTCAGGACCATTCCATGTGAAATGGAGGAAGTCTAATCTCCCAAGACAGTGAAAACACCAACCGTCTCCTGTATGAGAGTTTTGTTTGTGTCTATTGAAGGAGAATGAATTGTTTTCAGACAAAGGAGTGGGGAGGAAAAAAAAAATTGAATTTCCTCATTTATCCAGTTCCATATACTTGCAAGAATAAATAAACTCCAGATCTGGAACAGAATAAAATACATTAGTCCTGTTTGTGGATTGAATTACTTATTTTCAAGCCCCACCAGTTATGTTCTGCTAACTGAAAGCTGAAAGCCAAAGCTGGGTTGAAGTGAACGTGTTGTGCTTTGCAATTAAGAATCTACCTGTATTGCCTTAGATTATGGAGCAAATTCCTTTCAGGTAACCTATCCTCTCGCCCCAGGAACATTCATTAAAAAAAATTCACTCTGGCATCAATTCATGATCTGACATAATTGCCATCTTGGCAACAACTTGTTAAAGTGTGTGAATTGAGACCTTTCCCCCAGTTGGGTGTAGCTATTAGCATTTAAAAAAAAAGTCAAATTACAGAATGTAAAGATTTAAAGGCCTTCTTAGAAATTCCCTGCAGGAGAAGGTTCGAAAGGAGTATGAAAAAGAAACTGGGGACCAAATAGCTTTCTATTTGCTATTCTGCAAAAATATACCGTGTTTCCTCGAAAATAAGACCAAAATACTTTTTTGCTCCAAAAGACTCATTAGGCCTTATTTTGGGGGAAATACGGTACTAAATGCATCCATCTGGCTGACAATCTTAACTGGGGCTTATTTTGGGGGTAGGGCTTATATTACGTGCATTCTGAAAAATCATGCTAGGACTTATTTTCCGGTTGGGTCTTATTTTCAGGGAAACAGGGTATTTAGGAGGTTTTGTAGGAATAGAAAAGGATTGCTAGGCCTGGATGCAAGAAGAGAGAAAAGCCACAAAAAGCCAAGTGTCAGGTGGAAAATTTTGGAGGGGAAGCTGTGAGGGGAAGCCAAGTAAGTGGCTGGCAAGCAAAGGAGAAAAGGGAAGAGAAGCTAGGAGAAGAGGAAGGTAGAACAGTTCTGAAGATAGAAAGAAGAGGAAGAAAGCAGAAAGGATGGGCATAAAGGTGATGTAGGGCCAGGGGTGGCCTGCTGGGGGTTTGCAGGGGTTCGGGAGAACCTCTGGCTAAGATTCTGTGCAGTTTGGAGAAGTCCCGAATTCCACTCCTGGCTGGCCCCACCTACCCCACCCTGCCCCTCTCAAGAGTCCCCATATGGCCTGTTTTGGATGCAGGTAAGTGCAGGGTGCATGCAGAGGCTCTGGGAGAGTGAAATTCAGGAGTCCAGAAGTTCAGGAAGCCTCCGGAGGGTCTCCGGAGCCGGGGAAGGCCGTTTTCACCCTTCCGGAGGCTCGACAAAAGCCTCTGGAGCCCGGGGAGGGCAGAAACGACCCCCCCCCCCTGGGTGCAGGAGGCTGACTAGGCCATGGCCACCATGGCCACACCCACCCAGCAAACAGGCAGAGAACCCCTTGCTAAAATTTTTGAAGCCCACCCGTGTAGGACTATAGCTAGTTTTAGCTACAGAAATCCAATTTTTTTGAAAAACCTTCATGTTGCTTTTAGGCCTCTCATTCTTGGCTCAGATCCTTGCCCTAAAACTCCTTGAAGGTCACACGATAGCCTTATCAAAGAACACCTACCATTCTGAAGGAGGACAGCATGGAAAAAGGGCTGCTCCCCTCTTCCTGTTATAAACAGATTACTTAGAATATGCTAACTCCCCTCTTCCTATTGCAGATACATTAGCTAGAAAGTTTTGCACACTCGATTATCAGACTTATCAATTAGGGACAGACAGGCGAGGGCTGTAATATTTTAGCAATGAACCGATCTTCCAGGAGGGCCAACCTCTAAACCAGGGGTGAGAATATTTTATTGTTTATTGCCTATCGTTTGCTAATGATCATGGACCTTGGTTTTCCAAAAGGGAATAGAAATTATGCTACTTTGTGTATTGGGGGCTCTAGATTTATGATTTAATCCAGAGACAAAACCCCCTCCCAACTATGCTAATCCACAAAAGAAATAAATGGCAAAATCTAAATTTATCAATGCCTTTATTATGACCAACCAAAGTGACACAGAAATGTGTGGGAACGTATTGTTTTTATTCTTTCATTCCTACATTCATTCAATTTATAAGATGCCCAATCACAAAATAATTCAAGGTGGCATACCGTTTGTTTGTTTTTTTTTAAATTCAAACCATTCATCATCCTAAAAGAGAAGAACCAGTTATAAAAATGGAAGGACAGTTGTCAGCACCTCAAAGAAATTCCAAAATAATCTAAACTTTAAATATCTAATTTGAGGACAAAGTCAACTTGCATCATGCATGGCCCATTGGAAAACCCCTTTTTAAAAAAGCTCTCCTGAAAGATAACATTGTTGGGGCTGTGCAAATTTTGAGGAAATGTGGTTCTGAAGGGTAGTGGTGGCAGTAGTGTTAACCAGGGATGGGATTCAGAAATTTTAACCGGTTCTCTGCCTGGTTGCTGTGTGGGCGTGGCCATGGTGGGTGTGGCCTACTCAACCTCCTGCACCATGGGTGTATGTGTGTTTTCACCCTCCCAAGACTCTGGAGGCTTTTTTTGAGCCTCCGGGAGGGCAAAAACAGCCTCCCCCAGGCTCTGAAGGCCCTCCAGAGGCCGGAAACAGGCCCGTTTTCAGATTTCCAGTAGGCCCGTTTTTCGCCCTCCCAGAGCCTCCACGTGAGCTCTGCACTTACCTGGCATCCAAAATAGACTGCATGGAGACTCCTGGGAGGGGAGGGGTGGGTGGGATCAGCCAGTCCTTGCAACTACTGGTTCGGTGAACCAGATTAAAATTAACATCTGGTTCACCCAAACTAGTCCAAACCAGCTGAATCCCACCCCTGGTGACCTAACTAGAGTACTGTCTCAAGTATGGATTTGACAAAGAAAGTTCAGACATCTTTGAGATATGTCACAGAATCTGTCCCAGGCAATTTTGGTGGCATGCTAGCTACAAACATAGCAAAAAACAATCTCATTTGTTTAATAGTGGGTTAGCCAATATGCAATAGGTACAAGACTACTATTCAAAAAGGATTATAGTTGATTCAATTTATTATTGCAACGTAACACAAGTAACTTTTCCATTTGTTTGACACAATAGGACATTTCAATCCAAGATCCAAGATTCCATGTTTGCTTTTTCATTGAATCTGGCCAAACGGTAAACATATCTTGCATGCTGTGGAAACACGGATGGATCTCTGTAATGATGATGCGAGGATCAGCTGGCCTTAATAGCATATCAAAAGCATTTTTCCACAACAACTTATAAATTAAGTGGCTTTTCATATTTGTTTACCAATGTAATTGATTATAAATGTTTTCAGCACAGATTACATGGTTGTACAGTATTAAATGAGATGCTATTAAAACTGCACAAAACTGCAAAGGAGACTGTGAGATAGGTTAAATTTGTAGTTTTAAAACAGCAAAACGCAGCGAATGCTGAAAGAAAAAACGAAAGAGGAGGATTAACACATTTGCAAGCAATGTCTACCTAGCAATATCTAATGTACACTAAGGTGTTAGTGCAATAACCTTGTCTCCATTTCCATCCATCCATCCATCAATCAATCACATTTATATAGCTGCCCATCTCACAAAAAGCAACTCTAGACTATTATGTAACAATAGTTAATACAATTATAAAAACAACAGATATAAAAATATAAAACTCCACACTAAAAGATAAATATAAAAATGAATATTTATTAATCAAATTTGTATAGCCACCCGGTTTACCAAAAGTGACTTTGAGCAGCATGCAACAATCAAATGTAACAACAAATATAAAAACAAGTTATATAAATTCACATAAAAAGATAAGTATTATAAAAATGAGTGTTTATTTATTTAATCAAATTTGTATAAAAACACTAAAAGGTATTCTAGGCAGTGTATGACAATTTGTACAACAAGAAGAACAATTTCCATTCATTCTATCTTTTATTTGTATAATTTAGCCAAAGCCAATCTTTGATCCAGGAGCCTGGATAGCTCAACAGACAGAGCACTGTAATTTAACACCAGCTGTCTGCAATTAAAGTAAGATCGAATCTCGCCAGGCTCAAGGTTGACTCAGCCTTCCATCCTTTCTAAGGTAGGTAAATTGAGGACCCAGTTTGTGGGGGCAATAAGCTGACTTTGTATAAATATACAAAAGTATGAAGGCTATTGCTTAACGCACTGTAAGCCGCCCTGAGTCTCCAGAGAAGGGCAGCATATAAATCAAATTAAAAAAAAAAACACCTTGTCATTTCCAAAGTATATGGAAATTCAAGTTCTTTGGACTGGAAAGGGACAGTGATCTCTTGATCAAAAACATGTCGATTCAAATTCCTACACAGTTCTGAAGTTCACAGGGTATCATGGGGTCCTTGGTATTTTCTGAGCTTGGTTAGTTTTTTTGCAGATATTTCACTACTATGCTAGATACAATAACATAATCAGAGCTAGTGCTGATGATGGTACCTAGTTTGGTAATAAAATGCCTGCATGAAAATTTTCAAACTCAGAGAACACCAAGAACCCCATTGTTCAACCTGTTTTATAAATATTCTCATCCATAGGTATGACAGGTTATCCTTGTGACATCACTACTTCTTAGTCTCATGTACTTTAGAGGTCAGTTATAATGATGAAACTGTATCAGCATGAAATCTTTAGAAGAAAGATCTGACAAAACAAGAGGAATAAAATGTGACAGCTGGTAATGTGCTGACACAATCATACCTTTTTCCAGAAAGTAAAAGCTCAAATCCTTCACTGATCTTCTCAAAAGGCAATACATGAGATATTAATGCATCTGTATTAAATTTATGTTTCATATAATCCAAAACAAGTTTAGGGAGAGCATCTTTTAATTTCCAACCTGGGTTTTAAAAGAAAACAAATAGGAATAGTAATTGAATTATTCATTTCTTTGCATAAAAGAACTGAAAATGAATTTTTTTGTTTTTTGCAGCATCACCAACTTTGGTGTACTTATAATAAACTAGCTGGATGCCCCTGCTTCGCTACGAAACTAGGTGTTCGGGCTTGATAAATTGACACTTACAGCCTGAAACTTAATGTAGAATGTCCCAGCCTGCAGCATCCATCGGTATTCATCTGGCTAGCATCCTGTCAGTGTGTGAGTGAGCAAGAAGGAGACAGGAAGGAGCCTGGGCATGGCTTAGCTTAACTTTTCTGTATTAAAGCTGCTTGCTGCTGTGAAAGTAAAACTGAAAGTGAAACTCCTCTCCTCTGTTTGTGTTTTGCATTTGGACAGATTTCTTTTGAGCTGGGAAGAACTCCTTAGCATCAGAACGTGGAACAGATTTCTTTTCAGGTGGGAGGGGGAGTAGCATCCTTAGCATCAGAGGGCTGTTTGGAAAGTGAAACAGTATTTGCTATGTGAGCAAGAAGGAGACAGGAAGGAACTGGCCGTGGCTTAGCACAAGTGTTCTGTATTAAAGCTGCTTCCTGCTGTGAAATTAAAACTGAAAGTGAAACTCCTCTCCCCTGCTTGTGTTTTGCATTTGGAACAGATTTCTTTTCAGGTGGGAAGTGGGAGTAGAACTCCTTAGCATCAGAGCGTGTTAATAATAATATAGGAAATACTAATGTTCTGATGGTCATTTCGAAAAATCCTTTCTTAGTGAGCACCTAGAAGCCAAGAGGAACATATGTGGCAAATTTCAAGTTTGTAGGCTTTACGGTTCTGGAGATTTCATGATTACTGTGTGAGTGGTTTTTGCTTTTATATATATAGATCTGTCCTTCAAAATATTGAAATGATGCAATTGGAGAACATTAGGCTGGTGAAAGCTGAGCTGTAAGCAAATTCTCCAATTATATCACAATACTTACAATGATAAATGCTGTTATATTAGAAAAGGGGTAAGTGTTTATTATTCATTTTTCATTATTATGTCATTTCTTAAGAAAACTGTAGCTAATCTCAGGGGTTGCCACAAAGAGGAGGGAATCAAGCTATTCTCTAAAGCACTTGAAGGCAGGACAAGAAGCAATGGATGAAAAGTAATCAAGGAGAAAAACAACCTAGAACTAAGAAGAAATTTCCTGACAGTTAGAACAATTAACCAGTGGAACAACTTGCCTCCAGAAGTTGTGAATTCTCCAACACTGGAAGTTTTTAAGAAGAGTTTGGATAACCATTTGTCTGAAATGGTAGAGGGGTTTCTTTCCTAAACACGGGGTTGGACTAGAAGACTTCCAAGGTCCCTTCCAACTCTGTTTATTATTGTATTGTATTGTATTGTATTGTATTGTATTGTATTGTATTGTATTGTATTGTATTGTATTGTATTGTATTGTATTGTATTGTATTGTATCGTATTGTATTGTATTGTATTGTACTCCATTCCATTCCATTCCATTCCATTCCATTCCATTCCATTAATAAGATATTGAGAATCTTGACAAAACAGCATTTCCTAACCAGAGCCTCCTGTTCTCTGTTTAAATTCAGCAATGGGAAATGGAGACAATTCAGAGGCTGAAACTAAGCAGATAGTAGATAGAATTCTTTAGACGAGTCAAGACAACTTTATACAATTTTATACCAAGCTGGACCAATCAAAAACCATATTTCTTATTTTGAAAAACGAATCACATGCACATACTGGTTAGAAGTATCTTATTTATGACCCACATTAGCCAATGCGTACCTCCAATCAGACAGCCTAATAGTTTCCTTCCTGTGAGCAGGAGAGCAGGGTCAAAAGAGAGCTGTGATTTTGCAGGAGGTGCCCCCACCAATACACAAATCCCATGGCCCAGGTGGGACGATGCAAGGGCACTGACCTATTTGAGACCCAAAGAAAAACAAGCTAAAGAATTCAAGTGAACAGACTGTAGTCTAAGTTTTCCACCGATAGGTTGTACATAATCCTAGAGGTGTTGCTTATATAAAAAAAGAGAATACAGCTACATCAAAGAATAAACAGGAGAGCCTTAGTGCATCTAACTCAGCATTCGGAAACAAGAATTAAAGATGGACAATAGTTTCATTCAGATAATGGGGTTTGGTTGTTTGGATGAGTTATCTGTCTTAGCAATAGCAATGGCACTTAGATTTATATACCGCTTCACAGTGCTTTACAGCCCTCTCTAAGCGGTTTACAGAGTAAGCCTATTGCCCCCAACAATCTGGCTCCTCATTTTACCCACCTCGGAAGGAGGGAAGGTTGAGTCAACCTTGAGCCTGGTGAGATTTGATCTGCCAAACTGCTGGCAGCAGGTGATCAGCAGAATTAGCCGGCAGTACTGCACTCTAACCACTGCGCCACCACAGGTCTTTCTTGCTGGAACAAGGTACCTCTTTCTCCTCACTTCTTTCTTTAACCTACTGTCAATATATGGGCAGTACAGGTAGTCCTTACTTACAACAGTTCATTTAGTGACCATTCAAAGTTACAACGGCACTGAAAAAAGTGACTTATGACAGTTTTTCACACGACGGTTGCAGCATCCCCATTGTCACATGATCAAAAGTCAGCTGCTCTGCAACTGACTCACATTTATGACAGTTGCAATGTCCCGGGGTCTCATGAACTGCTTTTGCGACCTTCTGACAAGCAAAGTCAATGGGGAATCCAGATTCACTTAGTAACCACGTTGCTGACTTAACAAATGCAATGATTCACTTAACAACCATGGCAAGAAAAGTCGTAAATTGGGGCAAACTCAGGGGTGAAATCCAGCAGGTTCTGACAGGATCTGGAGAACTGGCAGCGGAAATTTGTAGTTTGGAGAACTGGCAAATACCACCTCTGGCTGGCCCCAGAGTAGGGTGGGAATGAAGATTTTGCAATATCCTTCCCCAAGAGTGGGGAGGGAATGGAGATTTTGCAGTATCCTTCCCCTGCCATGCCCACCAAGCCACGTCCACAGAACCGGTAGTAGAAAAATTTGGATTTCACCACTGGGCAAACTCATTTAACAAATGTTTCACTTAGCAACATGAATTTTGGGCTCAATTGTGGTCGTAACTCAAGGACTACCTGTATATAATTGTAACTTGGAAGGACCAACCAATATGTCAGTTTGCTCCTTTGTCCTCTGGGTAACAGAAAAAGAGGAGGAGGAGGAGGAGAAGGAGATTATTTATAATCATAATCCTTAGATGTGACTCGCTGATACTACTACAAAGATTCCAAAGTATGCATGTGTTGGACATACAATATATTTAACGTTCACATTTTTTCCTAGAAAATGGAAAAAGATTCCCCCCCAAATATAGAATATGTGACCACAAGACACTAGAATATTTTCCGCTTGAATGTTAATCCTAATATCTGAAGGTGCTTTCTGCTACAAAATGGAAATTTGAACCTAAGAGATTATTGCCAACGCAAATCACATACTTCTGTGTCAATGCGTCCAATCACTTCAAATGTATAGTCCACACCAAGACCAGTCTTCTGCACGAGCACCTCGTGAATCGGCTTCTCAAAATCCTGGGGGCAGATGCACTCAGTGGCTCCTAATTCTTTGGCCTTCATAAATTTATCCTTGTTGATGTCAATCCCAATAATCCTGGATGCTCCAGCTGCTTTACAACCCATGATCACAGACAAACCAACACCTCCTAAGCCAAAGATGGCACAGGAAGAACCAGGCTCAACCTGAAAAAAAAAAAATCACACAAAGAAGAATCTTGTGTTGGAAGACACCCAAACAAACCCAGGAGCTGGATGGATGAAGATGGCATGAGAACAAGCAAAGGCTAGAACAAGAAGGCAAGCATGGACACAAAACTCAGAGTCACTCAGGGTCACTTCAAACCACAAGATGGGTAGCGTATAAATTTAATAAATAAAATAAATAAAGCTGAGCAGAATGCAATAAAAATAGTTTTAGTTTCAAGAAAAAAGTGCAATACCACAAAATTAACCATTGGAATATAACAAGAAGGTTAGAATCAGGGGTGAAATCTACTTACCTTCCTTACCGGTTCGGAAGTGCTATGCGCGCGTGCATGTCACGTGCATACATGTGTGTCATGCGCGCGCGCACCTGCACATGCGCAAAACCTGTGCATGTGCAGAAGGTAAAAAAACATTACTTCCTGGTTAAAACCAGGAAGTAATGACACCCGGGCGGCGATCGCTCCAGGATTGCCGAACCACAGGGAAAAATTGCTACCGGATTGGGTGATCCGGTCCGATCCGGGAGCATTTCACCCCTGGTTAGAATACATACACAAGAAAAGGTATAACCTAGGACTGGAGACAGTGCAGAGAATATAATTTATTTCACAATGTGTAATAAATTGACAAGGATGTTTGACATTACTTCTCTGTGTCCAAACTAGCAGCATGATATCCTTGCAACACTTGTGTGTTCAGACCTATGATTGAGTTTCCATGTTACAATAAGCTATTGTTTGCCACTCTGTTGTACTAAACCACGAACCATGATTTACAAATCTTAATAATTGAATTCATAAGATCTATCAAACCAAAATCAAACAAGCCAAAGACTGACGTCAAGTTAACCCATGGTTTACAAGTTAACACCATATTTACAATCTAAACCAATCACAATAGATCAGGATTACTCAAATCATGTTACCATATTTTTCGGAGTATAAGATGCACCTTTTTTCCCCCCTAAAAGGGGGTGGAAATCTAGGTGCATCTTATACACCGAATGTAGCCCTGCCCACCCACTTACCCCCATCCTTTGGCCTCTGCCTCCCAGCAATTTACCTCCTTGCAGCAAGCAGCAAGAGGAAACAGCCCATTTCAGCTTCAGCACAGCCTAATTAGCACAAGTTGATTGTCCCTTGGATCGGCCTCCCGACTCTCAGCTGTTCAGACTGCAGGGATTGCCATTGCCTATTGCTGAGTGGGCCTCTGCTGCTTGCTGCAAGGAGGTAAATTGCTAGGAGCAGATTTTTTTTTCTTGTGCTAATCAAGCTATGCTGAAAACGAAAATGAAAGTAAAGCAGGCTATTTGCTGTTTGCTGCAATGAGGCAAAATTGCTGAGAGACAGAGGCAGATTTCTTTTCCTTGTTTTCCTCACCAAAAAAAGGTAGGTGTGTCTTATAGTCTGGAGCATCTTATACTCTGAAAAATATGGTATATTAATAACACAAGTTACAGCAAAAGCCAAACAAATCAAGGTTCATTTCTAGAAGATATGGAATGAACTCTTCTTCCAACCTAAGCAGGAAGCATGAAGTTCTTCTTACCTTGGCACAATTGATGGCAGCCCCATAGCCAGTTGAAAAGCCACAGCCAAAGAGGCAAACTTTATCCAGAGGAGCATCATCATCAATTCTTACAATAGATGCCTCAGGCATCACCGTGTACTCGGAAAAGGTGCTTATCCACAGGAAGTGATGAATCTGTTTCCCCCGGCAGGTGAACCTGCTGGTTCCATCTGGCATCAGACTTTGAAAAGCTTTATAAATGCTGTTTGAGGAGATTCAAATCAGTGTTTTGTCATAGTCTGGGTTGGTCAGAAATGGTCACTGTAACTCAGGGGTGTCAAACTTGATTTCATTGAGGGCCGCAAAAAGATTGTGTTTGACCTCAGGGTGCCAGGGTGGGCGTGACAGGGGTGGGCATGGCCAGCTTGATGTCACTTGTGTCGGGGGCGCCTGTGGCGGCCTGAGCGCCTTGCCAGCAAAATAGGGGTTCCTCAGCTCCGTTTTCAGCCATGGCGGCCTCCTGCAACTCTCTGCCAGTGAATACAGAGCTCGGGTGGGCCATGCATGCCTCCCCCAACCCCGTTTTTCTGGCAGAGACACTGCGGGCCGGTCCTTCACTGTTTCCAGGACAGCCCTGCGGGCCAGATCTAAGAACCCCATGGGCCGAATCTGGCCCCCGGGCCTTGAGTTTGACACCCCTGCTGTAACTGGAAAACCCAAATAAGTAATATGTACAACAAACTTACTGGGATTTGAGACAGCAGTTGGCTTTTGGACTCAAGCAGCAGTCACATTGTCCGCATTGAGGAACACAGAGAGGAATGACCTTGTCACCTTGCAGGGAATAAAAATCAGTCCTAATGTGATCATTTTGGGGTTAAAAATCTCATAGCCTATTAATAAAAGTTCAAGGAATCAATATTTAAGCTATACACACAGAGAATAATTCCTAGGATGTATTTCAGATCTTTGGTCATCACCACTTTGCTATTCTTTAAAACAGTTTATATTTTTTTCAGGCTTTTGCATGAGCCAGGAGGAAAGATGCTGCTGTTTTAAGAAGTCAACCGTTCACATAATTTTTAAGTAGCTGCAGCCTAATTACGATTTTTATTATGGGTGTATGTATGTTTTAATTTGCAGGCCAATTTTATATATTGATTTTAATTTGGTTTTAAATTTTAAATTTTATAAATCTATGTGAGTCCTTCGGGAGAAGGGCGGTACAGAAATCTAATAAACTTCAAAGTTCAAACTAAAAGAGAGAGATTGCACTATGACATCTTAATATTAATAACTTATGGTTGGTTGCACAATCAGCCAGATGTTTAGACTGGATATGACATGTTTGTTTACCTTTTGAGTCCTTGTCAAGTACCTAGATATTACTATAATATACACAACAATATCAAGTCATAGATGCCAGTTTAGCTGATATAGGCCTTCATAAGCATCAAATTCTTCCGAACAACCAACAATGTTGTAATATATACAGTGTAGTATATGTGTGCATTCAAGGAGTGTGGCCTTTTGTAATTATTATCAAAAGAGAATAAGGAACCTGATCCCTTTTGAATATTTCAAAATATAGCTGCATCTTCAGAATTGCCTGAAATTCCTAGTACTGTACTATCCAATGTGAATAATAATAATAATAATAATAATAATAATAATAATAATAATAATATCCTTACCTGGTTTTACACAAGTGACTTCTGGTCCAATACTTTCAACGATGCCTGCTCCTTCATGGCCCCCAATAACAGGGTAGTCTATGTTTGGAAAAACCCCTTTCCATACATGATCATCGGTCCGACAGATCCCAGTGGCTACCATCTGTACAGATAAGAGTATGTCATTTCAACGCTTGGGTCCAATTCAGTGGTGGGTTTCTACCGGTTCGCCCCCATTCCCGTGAACCAGTAGTGGTGGCGGCGGGAGGCTCCGCCCACCCGCCCAGACATCATCATAGATGCTCTGCGCATGCGCAGAAGCGCCACACGCAAGCGGCACTCCCAGTTCTGAACCGGTAGTGAAGGAAAGAGGAACCCACTTCTGGTCCAGTTCATATTTTCACCTAAAGAGCTTCACCAGACCCGAAGCCTATCTAATCCAGCATTCTCTTTGCACAGTGAACCCAGAAGATGCTTTGTGGAAGCCTTCAAAGAGAACAATCCTTCCAATCACATCACATAACAGTTATACAGTTAAAGGAAGGAAGAGTAAGGATTTTTAGTTTGCCTGGAGATCATGAGAAAGAACACCAAATTTATGGGTTTCTGTATTGCATGTTTCAAAATGATTTGTTTTGGGTGGTTACCAAAATTTGAACTGTGATCTCATTAAAAACTGGTTCTATAAAATATATACAAGTTGCCTTCTTCATTCTGGATGCAGACTATTCGTTGATGCAGAATCTGGCGATTTGCATCTTTCTTTTTTCTGGAGAGTACAATAGTTCTATGGCCATTTTATCAAAAGAAAAGCAACTGTTGCAGGGGAACAATCTCTATGGACCACCAGTAATGTGATATAGTCAAGAACCTATTTCACAAGCTGCAGGTACCCAGTGATGGGCTGCTGCCAGTTTGGACCGGTTCGCGTGAACCGGTAGTTCTGACAATCAGCTGGCCCCGCCCACCCGCCCACCCGCCCCCTCCCTATCCTGTCCTATATTTCCTTCTTTCTGGCTCAGCTGATTAGGGCGGCACAGCTGATTTCCGTGCCTCCACTGTTCTACTTATTGGGGCTGCCTTAGAAGGTAAGCAGCTGAGCTTCAAATTGCTGTATTTTGAACCCTGTGCGCAAGCGCGTTAGGCGCGCGCACTCACAGAACCGGTTGTTAACCAGTTGCAGCCCACCGCTGCCTGTACCCAAACACAAAAGGGAGGTCAAGAAACTGTCAGCAATACAAAACATTTATTCCAAAATGATTCTGAAGGGAAACGCCTTTGGGAAAAAAAAAAAAAAAGCTAACAAGAACTGGATGATTGGTGGAGCAACCATCAACAGGGACATTTCGGATAGCAGCATCTTGGTTCAAGTCTTGCTATTTATGTTTTCCTAAGCAGCAGCCTTTTTAGCAAGTCTCAATAGTTTAGATGCAAGACAACTGCAAATTTTATTACAATCATAATTTATTCATTGCATTACCTTCACTCGAATTTCATGGCTCTTTGGTGGTGCTACTTCTACCTCTTCAATTGAAAATGCTTTGTCTGGTTCCCAGATGACTGCAGCTTTACATTTAATCACCTGTGTATACATGGACCATCAAAAGAGAAGTCAGAGGAATGAGCAAATATATGCTCAGAATATGTCTTGTAAGCCAGAGGAGTGACAAGAACTGTTAAACCAGAAAAGGAAGGCATTTAAACCTCTTCGGTTTATTTCAACAAGTTATGGCAGTTTTACCATGGATATAATCTGAAGTACTTCTCCAACCATTCTATCAGTAGTGGGGGGGAATTAACCTAGTACCAGTGATGGTTGCCTCCGGTTTGCACAGGTTCATGCTCACCTGGCAGGCAAAGTGGAGCCTGTTCATAGAAAAGGTGGTAGAGACTGATATGTCAAAACAACCATCAATTATACCAGGGGCGTCAAACTCAAGGCCCAGGGACCAGATGTGGCTTACGGGGTGTTTAGATCTGGCCCGTGGGGCTACCCTGGAAACAATGAAGAACTGGCCTGTGGTACCTCTGCCAGTGAAAACGGAGCTTGGGAGGTCCGCTGTTGCAGCCAAAAACGGAGCTCGGGAACCCGTTTTCTCTGGCAGAGTTCTCAGGCACCACAGGCGCCCCTGACACAACGGGCATTGAGCTGGCCACACCCAGCCCAGCCCCCCCAAGGTCAAACACAACCCTAATGCAGCCCTCAATGAAATTGAGTTTGACACCCTTGAATTACACTAATATTGGAGAAGATGGTTTGCTGGTGACCCTGTGAAGTGAGAAAATTGAAGGCAGCTTTTTTGGCATGGGACATGAGGACAGTATTGTTGATCTGCAAGCCAGAAGAAAGGCAATCCAAATTGCAATGAAGACTACAAAATTTATGCTAGTTTAGTTTTCTGCAGGATTATAGATGCAAGAACACTTTAAGCAGTGGGAGGAAGGATGCCCCTAGTCATATTTATGCAGAATGTTAACTGGGGTTTACTTTCAGCTAACTCTGCATACAATTGCAGCTTAATATTTGTAATCTGTAATGGGTTCACCAAATGAAAAAAAAAATAGCAGGGAAGGCCATTCCTTATGTTAGGAAATATGCTTGCAAATATAAGCATATTTTTTAAGAAGCCTAACCTGGATCCAGACGTACTTAACAACTACCGTCCAGTCTCCAACCTTCGCTTTTTAGCGAAGGTTGTTGAGTCCGTGGTGGCACAGCAATTCCCTCAATTCCTGGAGGAAACTGACTACCTGGATCCTTACCAATCTGGTTTCAGGCGTGGCCACAGCACGGAAACGGCATTGGTCGCCCTAGTAAATGATCTCTGGCGGGCCAGGGATGGGGGTTGCTCCTCCATCCTGGTCCTTCTTGACCTCTCAGCGGCATTCGATACCATCGACCATGGTATCCTGCTGCAGCGGCTCAGGGGGATAGGGTTAGGAGGCACTGTTTTACAGTGGTTCTCCTCCTATGTCTCGGGCCGTCTGCAGTCTGTTTGGGCGGGGGGTCAGGGATCCTCCCAGAGGCCTCTCACTTGTGGGGTGCCTCAGGGCTCGGTTCTCTCTCCTCTGCTCTTTAATATCTATATGAAACCGCTGGGTGAGATCATCCGTGGTTTTGGGGTGAGGTATCATCAATATGCTGATGATACCCAGCTTTACATCTCCACCCCTGACCACCCTAGGGATGCCCTTTCCGTGATGTCCCACTGCCTGGAAGCGGTGCGGGTTTGGATGGGGAGGAACAGGCTCAGACTCAACCCTTCCAAGACTGAGTGGCTGTGGATGCCGGCATCCCGGGATCTTGAGGTTCCATCCTTAATGATCGGAGGTGAAACCCTTGCTCCCTCCGACAGGGTCCGCAACTTGGGTGTCCTCCTGGATTCTCGGCTGTCTTTAGATGATCATCTGACGGCCGTAACCAGGGGGGCCTTCGCACAGGTCCGTCTTGTGCGCCAGTTGCGCCCGTTCCTAGACCGGGATGCCCTCACCATGGTCACTCACGCCCTTGTTACCTCTAGGTTGGACTACTGTAACACCCTCTACATGGGGCTGCCCTTGGGATGTGTCCGGAGGCTTCAGTTAGTCCAAAATGCAGCCGCGCGGGTAGTTACGGGGGCGTCTAGATACTCCCGTGTAACACCTCTCCTGCGTGAGCTGCACTGGCTACCGGTGGCACTCCGGATACGTTTCAAGGTGCTGGTGCTCACCTATAAAGCCCTTCATGGCTTAGGCCCGGGGTACTTGCAGGACCATCTCCAGCCGCTCTCCCACCGTCCTGTGCGCTCTCACAGAGTCGGCCTCCTCAGGGTGCCGTCGGCCAAACAATGTCGGCTGACGACCCCCAGGGGGAGGGCGTTCTCTGTGGGAGCCCCGACCCTCTGGAATGGATTGCCCACTGAGCTCAGGACAGCCCCCGACCTTCTTTCCTTCCGTCGCGAGCTGAAGACGTGGCTCTTCCGCCAATTAAACTGATCCGTTTGGGGGTACACTGATATAATTTTAAATCGTTTTTAATTGGGTTACTGATTTTAATTTGGTATTGTATTGTGATTTGTATTGAAGTTGTCTTTTTGTAAGCCGCCTTGAGTCCCTAGGGAGAAAGGCGGCATATAAATCACAATAAATAAATAAATAAATAAATAAATAAATAAATAAATAAATAAATAATATACAGAATTGCAACTAAACATCCATGGAAAGATGTTCATAAAAACATGTTCACATGCCTATATGAAGTCAAGTTCTTTGAGAAAAAAACACCTTTTTATACCAATTAACTGAACTTGCAAAAATCAGAAAATAAGAAAACATTTTAACTATGTAATTAATTATATACCAGATAGATAGACAGACAGACAGAAGTAGGTTAGTCAGTACTTAGCAGTGGTGGGTTTCAAAAACTTTTACTACCAGTTCTGTGGGTGTGGCTTGGTGGGCAGGGCATGGTTTGGTGGGCATGGCAGGGGAAGGATACTGTAAAATCTCCTTTCCCATCCCACTCCAGGGGAAGGTTACTGCAAAATCCCCATTTCCTCCTAATCAACTGGGACTTGGGACAGTCAGAATTTTTACTACCGGTTCTCCGAACTACTCAAAATTTCGGTTCTCCAGAACTGGTCAGAACCTGCTGAAACCCACCTCTGGTACTTAGGTAAGTTAAGTAATAACAGAAGTTAATTTACTTATGAACCAGTTTGGCGTAGCGGTTAAGGGTCCAGGCTAGAGTCAAAAACTGATTCGAAGGCACACAAGTGGCACAAACAGTAAAAGAATATATAGCATAAAGAGGAAAGGAATGTCTAACATCATGTACAGCGATGTATGCATAGCAACTATTCCCAGCTTTCATTTCTGGTCTGGTTGTAATTGTACGATCTCTGTTCCCATGTAAGAAATGGGCTTCCCTCACCTCAAGCACACATACATTCATTTTGTCACAAAGTAGTTCTCTTTTAGGTTTGGCAGAGTTTGCAAGTCAAAACACTTTACATTTGTTATAATTTATTACTAAGTAAAAAAAAGCTACTTGAGAATCTTGTGCCATAAATGCAAAACGAATGAAAAAGTTGTCCCATATTTAGATGAGTTTGTAAAGCCACAGAAAAGAGATTCTAAGAGTGAGAAGCATTAGCTCTAAATCCAAAGATTTCTGGCTGAAAACTCTGTTTTAAACATTACTCTGGAAACACACGCATTCACATGCACACACACTATTTTTGTTTACTCTTGGCACATTTCTCTTAAACTGCAGTGAGATTCAATTACTTTTCTGCACGGCAAGAAAAAAAAATTAAGATTTTATTATTTTTATAAATAACTCAAAGCTCAAGGCAGCAAACATATCTAAGTCTCTTCTCCCTCCTTTTTTCCATACAACAGCAGCCCTATGAGGTAAATTGGATTGTGAGAGAGTGACTGGCCCAAAGTCACTCAATTGGCTTTCAAACCTAAAGTGAGATGAAAGCCCAGAGTCTCCTGGTTCTCAATACTGTTGGTCTTCTGCATGGCAAAGAACAAAGGTTTGTCCACATTTACATTACCAAACCCTTTGAATGAAAATACTACCCTGTTTCAGTGGTAAAATTCAAATTTTTTTACTACCGGTTCTGTGAGCGTGGTTGGTGTGTGTGGTGTGGCTTGGTGGGCATAGCAGGGGAAGGATACTGCAAAATCTCCATTCCCTCCCCACTCCAGGGGAAGGATACTGCAAAATCCCCATTCCTTCCCCACTCTGGGGCCAGTCAGAGGTAGTATTTTTCGGTTCTCCAAACTACTCAAAATTTCCACTACCGGTTCTCCGAACTGCTCAAAATTTCCGCTACCGGTTCTCCAGAACCTGTCAGAACCTGCTGGATTTCACCCCTGCCATTTCCCCCAAAATAAGACATCCCCTGATAATAAGCCCAATCGGGCTTTTGAGCGCTTGGCAATAAGGCCAAGCGCTTATTTCAGGGTTCAAAAAATATATATAAGACAGGGTCTTATTTTCAGGGAAACACGGTATCAATTTAAATCAAACATGGTACAACATTTAAAGCCCCCGAGATGAAACTGCCTAATAACATATTTGGAAACTAATACTCGTCCACAGGGCTTATTAGATGCTGCTGGTCCTGCTGTCATCCGGAAAATTCCTCAGCAGAGCAAAATAACAGAAAAAAACAACAACACAGTTTTCTACCCCGTTCTGATACTATAGATTAGATCGTGATTCCATTATCTCTAACCAACATCTCGAATGCAATCTTGAAATGACTCGAGTAATCCAATATATAGGAAGAAGATATTGTGAGTGCTTTAAATACTCCATAGACAGCACTAAGTCTTAGTACTGTAAGCGCAAGACTAATTGTGTCAGCATTTGTCTGCCTAGAGTTCAGGTGAAGGATGAGAATGCTACGCTCTAATAAAGCAACCAAACGACTCTACGTTTTCTTACCTACGGCAGAATTTTAAATCATTTCAACAATGCTCGAGAAAGCTTAATTTTTTTTTACTTGTCAGGCAGCTTTACTTTTTGAATTCACAAGCGTGGGATAGTTCGTCAAGCCTGACCTTTGCAGAAAATAGAGTAAATCAGCACAAGTGAAATTCACAGAATGCTCCATACATTTTTATGGAGCACTTAAATGCTTCCATTTTAGAAGTAGTCTAATAAACCATGTACATTATGCTGTCCAGGCAGGTTTTGATTAAGAGTCTTCCTTACCTTCCCAGCAGTCGCCATGTATTCCAAGATCCCTGCTTAGAATGTGTCCAAGCTCTTCTATAAATGACTTCTCTCCTTGATTGGTCTGGCTCTGAGAGATACATGAGTAACTTTTCTCCACCCTGTACAACACATAAAATGTTTAATCTATGATAGGTCAGCTCAGGAAGGGGAGGGTTCGTTTGCAACTGTACTAAGAAGTTCAATGTTTTCCAAGAGTTTTGCTTAAAACGATCTCCCTCTGGAGAAGCCATCCAAAGATAACTGCCATCTAGACCCCAGAAAATAGATTCTAAAAGTGTACAGACCTCAGGGCTTAGTTCCAAAGAAGTTTCTGATTAAGAACTAGTCCGTACCAGCAAAAAATAAAAAACAAAAAACAAAAAAACAGAACAAAACACAAACATCTTTGATTGATGTTCTCTTGCTTAAACTACTTACATAAAGGATAAATTCAGAGTACATGATGCATTTGGGCAACCGTATTAATCCCACAAATTTGGTGTTCCCATAGGATCATAATTGAGAAATATTACTCCTTGTGGAATAGCTATTAAGTTTGCATTGGACGTATAACATGTTTGTCAAGGCAAAGATTTATTAAAACAAATGACAGTTCATATGACAAATAATATAAATGGAAAAGCAGCACTTCTTTTTTTAATGAATCTTTAGCAAAATTCCCAGCATGTGCAACACTAATTAGCCCCAAAAGTACAGCTCTAGATTTCTCACATTGCCTTCCAAATGTGAAACATAAAACATTAAATGACTACTCACAGAAGATGGCCACACGAAAGCTGAATTTGCATTATGTGCTTAATCATAGTTGACTTATTTTATTCATTAACCCATGACTTCTTAAGATTGATTTAATTATCCCATTTTTATTGTTATTAACTTAAAATAATTGTCAAATGCTATTCATGTGTTGCTGGAATGCAAGGCTACAATATATTCTGTATTAACCCAATGCATTGAACTATAAACTAACTCTTTGCACAATATGAAATATATTTGACTACTTTGTGTGTCAGTATATCACACAAGCACAGCTGGTGCAGGGTGTTCTAGGCAAAATTTAACCAAATAAGACAGCCTAAAAGTAGATGCCACTGCAATCAGTTAATAGAATTGATGCATAAACAACAACTGTAGCAATCACACTTGAATATAAAATTACTTCAGCAGTTTCCTGGTAGAAACGTATTTGGCTGGCACAATACAGGAGAGAAATTTCCAAAAACAAAACAGAGAAAAGGAGGGGGAAAAGCATCACTAAAAAACCTAAAATGGTTTAATTAAATAAACCCTTAAATTAAATCATCAAGTTATAATAAAACATAAAATATATTTTTAACCAGGAGGAAGGGAAGGAGATAGATAGATAGATAGACAGATAGACAGATAGATAGATAGATAGATAGATAGATGGATGGATGGATGGATGGACGGATGAGATGATAGATGATAGATAGATAGATAGATAGATAGATAGATAGATAGATAGACAGACAGACAGACATGGATGGATGGATGGATGGATGGATGGATGGATGGATGGATGGGCGGGCAGGCAGGCAGACAGACAGACAGACAGATGCAGAGATAGCATAATCTCTAGGTCAAGGACAGTCAGTTCTTGTTGGTGCACCAGTTGGCAGTTATGCTCAGCTTCAGTTGGTGCATCAGTTGTGTGCCCATTTCTGGAACAGGGGATGCTGGAAACCATCATCCTGCCCTCATCACTTTACATTTGGACCATTAATTCACTCTCCACGAGTCTGCCTTTTTCAACACCATCGAGAAACTGCAGCTAGCCAAAATGTCCACAACCCGGTACTGCTTTGTAACACCAATGATACAGGAGTTGAATCAGTAGCTTGTCTGTTCCCAGGCCCTATTTAGGATGCTGGTTATATTCTTTAAAGTCCTATGTGGCTTAAGAGTGATTCTTTGTTATTGAGGTGCAGTGTGAAGGAATCGGGGAAGCATTTTCTCTAGTAGGTCCCTCCTATGAAATGTTTTACCACCAAGAACAAGAACTGCATTATCAATCCTGATATTTAGAAAGTATCTTTTTCAAAGAGTATTTAAGTTGTAAACAGTTGAACGTACCCAAGGTGAATAAGGGGCTAATACTAGGAATTATTATTTTTAATTTGTTACATGATTTAACTGTATGTGGTTATGGTTTTTTTGTGACTACTATATATTGATGTTACTGTATTTTTGCTTGTGATTTGTTTAGAGGCAAAATGATTTAAGATGCAAAAAAATCATTTGTGATAAATAAAACAAATGGTTTATTGCTTAGCATGGCATACTGTAATTTACCTAATTGTGACTTGTTCAGCAGCTCAATAAACATGACCTAATATCATGCATAAATTGAATTCTTGTCTGATCTGAGTAAATCACTGGGTCATGAATCAAAAACATTACAATAATGAATAGTATTTTATAAAAAAACAACACCCTGCTATTTATTTTGATTTATATGCCGCCCTTCTCTGGAGACTCAGGGTGGCTTACAATGCATTAAGCAATAGCCTTCATACTTTTGTATATTTATACAAAGTCAGCTTATTGCCCCCACAAACTGGGTCCTCATTTTACCTACCTTAGAAAGGATGGAAGGCTGAGTCAACCTTGAGCCTGGTGAGATTTGAACTTGCAGTAATTGCAGGCAGCTGGTGCACTGTAACAGTGCTTAATCAGCTACGCCACCAGGCTCCTTAAAATGCTTAAAATTTTATGCTATAAAATACTGATTTTTTTTCTCTTTCAGCCACAATTCACACAGAATGTTCTACAGCAAGTTTTATTAAGATGAAAGGGGCATACAAGATTTTCAGCAAGTAAAGTATTTTCACATTAACACCAAGCTATATTTGTGCATATTATATTATGATCAATATTCTGACTCTCTTTCTCACAATAATATTTGCAGGAAGGAGGCAGGATTCAACCTTGATTATGGGAAAAATAGAGGTTGGTTGTTTAAATAGAGGTTTCCTGAATCTTAATCAGGAAGATAAAGATTTTGGGGGGAACCGTCTCCTATACTGTCTCTCAAAAGCTTTTTTTAAAGCCATTTTGTTTCACTTACAGCGGTGTTTCTCAATCTTGTCAGCCTGAAGATGTGTGGACTTCAACTCCCAGAATTCCCCAGCCTGCAGTTTCATCCATAAATATACATTCAAATTTGCAAAGCAATGTGCAGCTCTGTATCATGTAATGATTTTTTTGTCAACTTCTATTTACTTAAGAGATTTAGGGAAACAAAGTTGCATGCAACTTTAGCATGAGTCCCAAGATTTGCTCTAGATCAGGTGTCAAACTCACGGCCTACGGGCCGGATGAGTCACGTGCTGGCAACGCCCATGCCCACGCCCATGCCCGGTATAGCGAAGGGGGAAAAGGTGATACGTCACATGATGACCCATGACGACAAGTGACAAGTTTGACACCCCTGCTCAAGGCTTCCAATATCTGACTGAAAAATCGAAAAGATGATATAAAATAGTCCTATTTTTGTTCTGTCATCACAAAAGCCTACATAAATGGTTTCACTTCATATAAAGCCAAACAAAATGGCTGGTATTGTTTGAAAAGGATTTTTTCCCCATCTTTTCTCTTTTCAAAATAAGGTAAAATCTTTTGATCTCTTCTCTACTCCAAAGCATGACCCAAATTAAGTTTTTAGTAACTTTCAATTCAATAGTCTCTGCAGTCTTAGCCAGCAATTTACTATACATGTCATATCCTATCTTAATTCTGAAGCCCAGAGAGGTATTTTATTCATTCATTCATTATAGAAATCATCCATCTCCCTCTCAGAGGGACCCTGGATGGTGTACAAATAAAACATTAACATATAAAATGTTAAAACAGGATAACTGAATGTAAAAATTTAAAGCAGGACAAGAATAGTTAAAATATAACATTAAAAGTTAATTACAAGTTAATTATAAAGGGATACCATTGGCAAACAGTTCTTAATGTCCAGTTTCATCAAACTTTTCCAAGCCGAGTGCTCTGCAATCGTTGGACTTCAGTTTGTATAATCCCCAACTGGGTAATCTGAATTCCACACATCTGACAGGCACTCAATACAGGGAAGGTTGATTTATGCTACGGACACTGTAACAGCATGGTTTAGTCTTGCCCTTGTGGTTGCTGATTCTAGAGTAGGTATCAGTTATGACTTTGAGATAATTTGCTTTATGTTATAGATGCAGATCTTCAGTATTTAAAATCTATTTGGGAGATTTGGGAGGGCTGGGGAAATAGCAACAGTACTTAGACTTATATATAGCTCCATAGTGCTTTACAGTGAGCAGTGTACAACGCCAGCATATTGCCCTCAATAATCTGGATCTTCATTTTATTGAATGGAAAGCTGAGTCACTCTCGAGCCACATCAGGATCGAACTCCTGACTGTGGGTAGAGTAAGCCTACCATACTGCATTCTAATCACTGTGCCACCAGGGAAATGGAGGTTGGCTAAGAGAACTGTACAATACTGCAATGGAAAATGTGGACATGATTTATGACTAAAGGTTTTTCTTACTGCTATGTGTTGCCAAATTTAAATTAACCCTTTTCAACCAAAAGTCAAGGAAGAAAACGTTAAAGCAATATAGTCAAAAAGTTGTATTTATTTAATTTATATTCCTTTACTATTTTTATAAACAACTCAAAGCAGCGAACATAACTAATACTTTCTCCTCCCATATTCCCCACAACTCTGTGAGTTGAGTCAGGCTGAGCGTGTGTGACTGACCCAGTCACCCAGCCGGTATTTGTTGCATTTATAATGATTTTTTCCGGGCTTTTTAAAATCAAAATTACTATGCTTTATCCACTTTGAAGCAGTGCTGATCCTCAAATGAGACCTTATGTGTATTTTTCTATTGATCAAGCTTTCATAATACAATTAAGCACATATAAAACAATTACTGGAGCTGTTGATAGAAGCTTTGGTTCCACTGACTCTAGTTCCATTTACTCAGAGTTGACATCAGAGGTGGTATTCAGCTGGTTCTGGAGAACCAGCCGGACGCAATCCCATCCTATATCACTGTTTTTGACGTCGCACACACATGTGGGCGGTGCATGCAAGCGAATTGCCGTGTTATTTGATGTTGCACGTAGGTGTGGATGGCACGCACAGGCATGTGCGGATGGCGTGCGTGAGTGCGAGCTCACATTTCCAGGGTTGGGCGAACCGGTAACTACAGTATGTGAAACCCACTTTTGATTGACATGATTGGAAGGCAAGCCTATCAAGACAGTTCCATTCAGCACAATAAGCTATGGGTGTGTTAAGGAAACATGAACAGAAGAGAAAGCAAGAGTGTATAAGATTATATATTCATAATATATTTTGGATATAAGATTATGCAGCAGAGGCATCCAGGCTTTATGACAGCAAGTGCAATGGTTGAGGGGTTGGACTGAAACAAGGGAAGCCTAAATTCAAGTAAATTCTCCCCTTGATTTCTGGCTACACAAGAGAATTAAGGGATCCTTGAAGTGGTGAAATCCAATTTTTTTTACTACTGGTTCTGTGGGCGTGGCTTGGTGGGCATGGCAGGGGAAGGTTACTGCAAAATCCCCATTTCCTCCCCACTCTGGGCCCAGCCAGAGGTGGTATTTGCCAGTTCTCCGAACTACTCAAAATTTCCACCACCGGTTCTCCAGAACCTGTCAGAACCTGCTGGATTTCACCCCTGGATCCTTGGTGCTCTCTGAGCTTGGTTGTTTTCTTGCAGACATTTCATTGCTCAAACTAGGTAAGATCATCAGGCACCATGCTCAGGTGCCCCTCATTTAAACCCTGAGCTACAGATATTCTCCTTTATTGGTAAAACAAGAGAACTGTGGTGCAGAGAAAATGAAGGGAGGTTGCCCTGAACTGCCAAAGGAGAGCAGCTGCTTTCGGCATTAAGGGACTGCCTTGAGGTTTGGGTCTCAAGGGAAGAGAATTGTATGGCTAAAGCAGTCAAGAGTCATTGGTCTTAATTTCTCTTCACTAATCAGGAGCCCTTCTGGTATAATTCAGTTATTGAATCATGTCACATCCTAACACCATGAGGCTAAGCAGTGAAAAACATGAGTTTCTACATTTTATGTAGATACAATTGATTCCCCCCCTCCCCACTTTGGAGCCTTAAAATTGGATTATGCTCTTTCTGTGATAATTAAAACTAAGACCATGACTCGGATTTTCTTTTTTGCATCTGGGGCCAAGTAAAATCAACTTTCCATCTTGTAAATCGTGTGGTTTATGCTATGGCCTAAACATAAACACGCAGAGAAACAAAATAGGAATGTCTTTTTCCAGTATTTTCAGAACAAACATAGGGCCAAGAAAAAGGGTAATCTTCGTGGTTCCCATGCTTAAAGACTTCCAGACAGATTCAGCAAGTTGAGCCACTTAAAACATCAAGACAGTACGAATGCTGAAAAATAAAAACACAGGCTTCACTTTCCACATCCTCTTGTAAAGAAAAATGATCAAAACACAAGTATTTTTAAATTCAGGGCCTGTGACTGATTTCCTATTTTCAAAGCTTGCTGACAGATATTATTGTTAATCTTGGAATATGGGAAAGGCAGGCTAGGCAGTTGGAAAATGTGATGGCTGCACTTGTTATGTGGCAATGTCAGGACAACAGCATTTGCCGTTCGTAAGAAATCAGTGCTGTGGAAAACCCATCTAGTCAAGTAGTTGTGGGCCACAGACAATGGCGCCCAATGTATGTATAGTGTAGATTCACTCCTGAGGTAACTCACCATACAATGGAGGAATCTGGGAATTCAACAACAAAAGTTGCATGCAGATCTGAGGAATCTCCTGAACTTTATTGCCTCATAGATCTTTGCTTCAACCACTTATTAATTGCTTCAACAACCTTGCTTCAATATTAGAAGAAAGCCAGAAACGGAGAGCCTAGCACAAGGTAAAATATTTGCAAAGTAATTTTACACTCTTGTCTCATTTGGTAGCCCCTTGTTATAAACGCTGCCAGCATGTATAGAAGTGAAATTGCCTTGGTCAGCTTGACATGTGAAGTCCTTCAAGGCTCTTTTTGACCTACAGTTCTTTTTAAATAAACACATCAACTGTTGGGGCGGGATCTTGAAATCCAATTCTCTAGGTAACACTATCAGGCAATCGTGTAGCTCCCTTGAAGTTTTGCCTAAGGATACTGATGGCCGCTGAATGGAGGAAAACAAATTGAAACTAAATCCACATAAGACAAAAATATTCATTGTGAAAGGTCATCACTCTAAGTTTTGCGTGGCGCTATTCTTGATGAAATCACTCTCCCCCAAAAAGAGTGGGTATACAATTTAGAAGTAACTCTGGATTAGATCAGCATCTAACTATAACTTCCAGGCTTGTGTTATGCATTATATAAGGTTGTTCGTGTGTGCAACTTGAAAGCTTTAATTGGGACAAACTACTACAGCCAGGTCGATGTTTGGTTTATCCCCCAGAGCCCACATCATGCTCATTTGAAGTCAGGTTGTCAATTTGCATCCAGGAGCAGAAGAGGTTATAGCTGATTGTTTAAAGCGGCTTAGACCTGGGATACCTAAAATCATGTCATTTTCTCCTCCAAGATTCTGAGTTTGATCAGCTAAGTAGAGCTGGTTGATCTGGCTGCCAGTTGGGGCTACTTATTTCTGGGGGTGGGGGTGGGGAGGGGTTTGTGTATATAGAATTCATTAAAACAATGAATTAGTAGAATTAAACCTTTACAAGGCATTAAAATGCACTCCTACTGTAGGTTCTGTTTAATATCCCTAGTAAAAACGTCTCTGGTTTCAAGTCCACATTGTGGCCAATTATCTCTTCTGTCCAACTTCTAATTTTAGCCCAATATTTTTTCGCCTTAGGACATGTCCACCAGAGATGGTAATATGTTCCAGGGACTTTTTTGCATAAAATGCACTCTTTCAATTACCCTTTAACTTTTATCTAGAGAACTCTTAGACTCAGCATAGCTGCTCTGTGAGATGAACATCTAAGAAAAGTGCAGCAAATACTTTGGTTTCCTGGCAAGCCCTTTTGGTCTTTATGGAGCTACAAAATTAATATTCACTCTATGTGTAGATGAAACTGAATTTATTTATTTATTTATATCCTGTATTATCTTGATAAATAACTCAAGGCAGAAAACATACCTAATATTCCTTCTTCCTCCTATTTACCTCGCATCAACCTCCTGGTGTGGTGGGTTGGATTGAGAGACAGCGATTGGCTCAAAGTCACCCACCTGGCTTTCATGTATAAAGTGGGATTGGAACTCACACTCTCCTGGTTTCTAGCCTTGTACCTTAACCACTAGACCAATCTGGCTTTTGGAATTCAAACTGAAGTCTGAGCTGAAACTACTTCTGTTAAAAGTAGGTAACAATGGGGCAGAAATCTCACCTCTTTCCAGCATGAAGCAAGTCAAACCCTTTCCCAATATCACTGAATGGTAAAATGTGGGTAATCAGAACATCTGGTTTAAATTTTCCTTCCATGTAACTGGAGACCAATTGAGGAATTGAATCTTTCATCTTCCAGCCTAGAAGAAACAAAAACAAATGTAATGTAGATGTTGGCTCTGCTTCCCATGAACATTTTTGCAATTTGTCAAACTTTTTTTTTTTTTTTTTTGGCAAATCGCAAAAGCGCTCGTAACAAAACTTGTAACATTACTTTTTGTTGTTGTAAAATCAAATATAGAATGATAAAGTAAAACTGGAAGCACGTGAATTGCTAAATGTTTACTCTTAACTGCTGCTTCGTTTTCTGGAGGAAAGATGGCAGCTTTTTCCTAACCTGGTATCCAGATGCAGTCTCTGTCTCTGTCTCCCTCCCTCTCCTTCTCTCATTATTATATGGCCACCCAGTGGTGAAATCCAGCCGGATCTATCCGGTTTGCACGAGATGGTAGGGCCGGTGACGGGAGGCTCTACCCACCCACTGGGACATCATTACGTCCCGTTTTTGACCCTCTGCACATGCAGAAGAGGCGTGCACCTTTCCAATCTAGTAGTGAAGGTAAGTGCATTTCACCGCTGGGCCACCCATCTCACAAAACCTCTTTGCTGTTTTTAGGGCGGCCCTCTGGGCCAGATCTAAGCACCCAGAGGGCCAGATCCAGCCCCCGGGCCTTGAGTTTGACACCCCTGACCTAGCCCCATGCCATGAAGGGCTTTAAAACCAGCATCTTAAATTGGACCAAGAAGCAAACTGACAGCCAATGCAGCATGTACCATTCTAAGGACACAGATAGCCCACAGAACCACATTCTACACCATCTGAAACTTTCAGATACTTCCCATAGATGGCACCATATGCAGCATAGCATACTACAACCTGGGGAGTGATGAAGGTATGAGTAACTGTGAACAGAGCATTTGGATGTCGCCAGAATGGAGGAAGTTGATATGCAATAATCATGAGGAGATTTCAAGTGCACAGACTCTCTTTGAAGATAAAATGGGATGGGACAGGAATTTGTTAGGATTGCAACAGTAGGAGAAAGTTAGTACAAGAGCCAAACTGTTTACGGTATTTTTCGGACTATAAGACACACTTTTTTGTTTCCCAAAATGGGGCAAAAATGTCTGGGCCTCTTATAGACCGAATATTGCCAAAGCCCTGTCCACTCACCAGCCATTTTTGGCCTCGGCACGCCCTGTTTTCGGGCCTTTTTCAGGCCTTTTTTTGGCCCATTTTCAAGGCTTTTTCTTGGCCCGTTTTCAGGGCTTTTTTCAGCCTGTTTTTTTTCAGAAAAAAATGGGCCGAAAAGTCTCAAAAACGGGCTGAAAAAAGCCTTGAAAATGGCCCCAAAAAAGCCTAGAAAATGGGCCAAAAAAGCCCCCCAAACAGGCTGAAAAAAAGCCTCAAAATGGGCGGAAAAAAGCCAAAAAATGGGCCAAAAAAGCCAAAAAAAATGGGCTGAAAAAAGCCTTGAAGCCTTTCGCCCCCAAAATAGGGTGAAAAAAGCCAAAAAAATGGGCCCAAAAAAAAAAAAAAAGAAAGACTGGAAAAGGGCCGAAAAAAGGCTCGAAAAAAGGTAGGCCAAAAACTTTTTTTTTTGTTTTTTTCCACTTCTAAATTTAGGTGCGGCTTATAGTCCAAAAAATACAGTAGTTTCTAAGATCTGCAGGAGACACCCTTTTGAAAAAGATCTGGGTTTTCAGAGGCCTGTTTTTCTTGTCCCAGGCTAAGAAATGAACTTTCTTCTTTGTTGTTTAGAAAATTTATACAACTTCTTTTGCCAGAATTTTATAACTTCATTTGAACCTCAGTTTATACCTTTTAGAAAGGTGGAGTATAAATCAAACTAACTGATAAATAAGTACAATACAGTTAATCCTTGATTTAGGACCACAATTGAGCCTAAAATTTCTGTGGCTAAGCGAGACATTTGTTAAGTGTGCCATTTTATGACCTTTCTTGCTACCGTTGCTAAATGAATCACTGCAGTTGTTAAGTGAAACTGGTTTCCCCTTTGACTTTGTTTGTCAGAAGGTCGCAAATGGTGATCACATGATCTCGGGAAACTGCAACTGTCATATATATGTGTCAGCTGCCAAGCGTCTGAATTTTGATCATGGGGATACTGCAGAGATTCACTTAACAACTGTGGCATCAAAGGTCATATAATGAGACAAAACTCACTTAACAACTGCCTTGTTTAGCATTGGAAATTTTGGACTCAATTGTGGTCGTAAATCAAGGATTATCTGCAATACAGCCACAGATCAAATGAACCAATTATCCTAGGACAATTTCCGGTTTATAGGTATGTTCACATACCATCATTTCCACTATAATTCCATACTAAAAAAGACAAAGAAAATATCTGCGTATGGGTGTGTTCACTTATCTTTCATCTATCAACATACCTCCAACGAAACTCCCTTTTATGGTGCGCCCTGTAAGAAGCAGCATAGGATCCAATGGGAATTTTGCACCTAGGGGGGGCATCCCAATCACCACACAGATCCCACAGCCCATGTGACAAGAGGCCAAAGCAGCTGTCTGGTTGAAAAAAAGGGAAGAAATTAAGGAAGTTTTTGCTGTGCAAAGAAAAAAGGGACAATGGATGAACATTAAAAATACTGTATTTGACCCTGGAAATGGTAAAGATAAATAACAGCCGATTTAGTATAAAGCAAATGTATACTGAATGTTCTGCAATCTTCATACAGCCACTACTGATGCTCATGCCTCACAAGAAGAATTGAACTACCTACTTCCTAAAATAAATTTTTTACCAACAATTCTAGGAAGTTACACCTGAATCTGCTGATAGCCTTCTAAAGGATCTCTGATCTTTCTGGAAAGTTGATCAGTGATTTTTTTCAGTATTATTATTATTATTATTATTATTATTATTATTATTATTGGTTCAATTTATATGCCGCCCTTCTCTGGAGACTCAGGGCGGCTTACAATGCGTTAAGCAATAGCCTTCATACTTTTGTATATACCTGCTTAGTAGGGCTTTCGGCCCCCCCAACCAGTGTTCTTTTTTATACAAAGTCATCTTATTGCCCCCACAATCCGGGTCCTCATTTTACCTACCTCGGAAGGATGGAAGGCTGAGTCAACCTTGAGCCTGGTGAGATTCGAACTTGCAGTAATTGCAGGCAGCTGGTGTCACTTAACAGCACTTTAGTCTGCTGCGCCACCAAGGCACACCAAGTATTGACAGTCGAGTATCCCTAAATAGCACCCTCCATTTGCTACTTAAGAAAATCAATACAATTATAATTCTTGTTTTTATATTTGTTGATTTTTTTTAATCTGATTGTTGAACACTGACCAGAGTCGCTGTTTGTGAGATGAGCAGCTATATGAATTTTTTTTTGATAGATAAATAAATAAAAACAGATTTGATCTTCCAATTATCTTAACTGTAGGCTCTAGCTACTAACACACAAGAGTTTAATCTCAAACAAGAGGGCTTCCTTGGCAGTCTGCCTGAAGGGCAGAATATTTGAACTAAAAAGGGATCCATTTTTAGACAGCGGACTATGAACTAATTGTCTTGAGAAATGGTGATGGCTACCAAATGAGATTGTTCAAAAGAGGAAACTACTGTGAGTTTTTGTGGTTGACAATGGTCTTGAACTTGCCTCTCCCCAACCTTGATTGAAGATCTTAACTGCTATACTCCAGCAACTGATCCATAGAGGAATGAACTATCGTTTGTTGTCTTGATGGCCATTTACTTTCCCTGAATGCTTTGAACCCCAGCTGTCAAGAAGCAGGAAGGGAAGAGGACTCATATCCCTACACTATTTGAGACACTGTAGAACAGAGGTGTCAAACTCAAGGTTCAAACTCAAGGTGCTTAGATCTGGCCCATGGGGCTCCCCAGGAAACAGTGAAGGATCGGCCCCCGGTGCTCCATTTTCGCTGGCAGAGGATTGCAGGAAGCCATTGCAGCCAAAAACAGCTTGCGCAGGCCTCACGCAGCCCTCCCGAGCTCCGGTTTCACTGGCAGAGGGTTTCAGGAGGCGGTTGCAGCAAAAAACAGAGCTCGGGAGCCTGTTTTCACTGGCAGAGTGCTCGGGGCACCACAGGTGTTCCCAACACGAGTGACACTGAGCTGCCAGAGCCACACCGGCCACAGCCACACCAGCCATCCAAGGTCAAACACAACCCTGATGCGGCCCTCAATGTAATCGAGTTTGACACCCCTGCTGTAGAAAGACTGCCATGTTAGTCTAAGGAAGCCAAACATCAGAAAGATTTTAAGATTAACGATCATGAGTTGCAGATTGCTTTCTAAAATGCAGAAGGACCGATGTGAGATTATAAATACAGGGATTGATGTGAGATTAAAATATACCTTGATAAATGATTAGGTGCTTAAAACTCTTTCCTGGACAATTTTCATCTATATTACTACTCTGCCATCTCTTTCTCTCCCTCTCTCCATTCTGCCTTATACCTGTGTATTTCAAACCCAGTCAAGTCACTGATCAAGTGAGTTGGAGCTCATAAAAGTTTAAAATAAACACGGTTAACCATACAAAATGCTACCAGGCTCATCCCATTTGACAGTTTCCCAAATGAACCAATTAGGTTACTGGGAGACAGAGAGCACTGAATCAGATGATCCTTTGGGTCAGTGGTGAGTTTCAAAATTTTTTACTACTGGTTCTGTGAGTGTGGCTTAGTGGGCGGGGCATGGCTTGGTGGGCGTGGCAGGGGAAGGATACTGTAAAATCTCCATTCACACCCCACTCCAGGGGAAGGTAACTGCAAAATCCCCATTTCCTCCTAATCAACTGGGACTTGGGAGGCAGAGAATAGATGGGGCCGGGGCCAGTCAGAATTTTTACTACTGGTTCTCCGAACTACTCAAAATTTCCACTACCGGTTCTCCAGAACTGGTCAGAACCTGCTGAAACCCACCTTGCCTTGGGCTGATTTTTATGAAATAACTGTTTTACTCCAGTGACAAATAATTTCACAAAAATATTAATACAGCAAACCTGGAGAAAACATACATACAGTAGTATCCAGACTTAATGGATTGCCATTTTCAAACTTTGGATACAGTGGACAAAATCTGTCTCCCAATAATTCTCCAAAATATCAGACTAAGTCCATTATATCCAAAGTAATTAGACAATTCATTTAAATTTAGATTAATGATTTAAATTGTATTATCGCTTGCATTAGAATGGATTTATGTAAATAAAGTAAAACGGTGACTGTTTACACAAATGAGGTATATTCTGACTTAGATAGCTAGTAGTAGCAGATGTTGTGTCATCCTGAATGTTCTTTTAAATCAAAATTTCACTATAGTGTTTTCATTGAAACTAGCATCAAATGGCGAATGAGCCAATACATTTTGATTAAATACATACCAGGGTCTCCAAACATCCAGCAACCTCAAAGGAATAATCTACACCATGTCCAGTCATTTCCAGCACTACTTCTTGAATGGGTTTCTTGTAATCTTGAGGGTTGATACATTCTGTAGCTCCCAATTCTTTTGCCTTTCCAAATTTGTCGCTGTTAATGTCAATCGCAATGATACGAGATGCTCCAGCTGTTTTGCATCCCATGATCACAGAGAGACCAACTCCTCCCAAACCAAAAACAGCACAGGTGGATCCAGGTGTAACCTTTGGAGTCATGGAGAAAGAGAGCAGAGCAGGGGTGAAATCTAAAATTTTTTGCTACCGGTTCTGTGGGCGTGGCTTAATTAGTGGGCGGGGCTTGGTGGTAAGGTGACTGGGTGGGCGTGGCCAAGTCAATGTTACTTCTTTGCCCTTTTTTAACCTACAAAACACAACACAACACAACTGGCTCACCCACAATGTAAAAGCAGCTGTGCTAGACCCAAAATGGCCCCGCAACAAGCAGGAACTTCACACAGCCACAAAAAGCCCAAAAAAACAACTTGCACACTTTACACACACGCAACACAACACAACTGGCTCACCCACAATGTAAAAGCAGCTGTGCTAGACCCAAAATGGCCCCTGCAACAAGCAGGAATCTCACACAGCCACAAAAAGTCCAAAAAACCAACTTTCACACTTTACACACACAAAATTCCACATACAGCTTTGTGAGATTTTGTGTGTTTGTGTAGTTAGAGTGAAACACTATAGAAACACAGTAAATCTCAGAAAGCTGCACAAATATTATTTTATTTTAATTTATTTTGATTTTTATATAAAAGCAGCTAAATTTAAAACTTCCTAAACTTTAAATGGCTAGGTCTAAAAAAAGAACAACTAAAACCCCCCCCAATTAACTATTTTTTTTAAAGCTCCCAAAGGGGAAAAAAACTTACCCAATAGAACAGGGGTCTCCAACCTTGGCAACTTTAAGACTTGTGGACTTCAATTCCCAGAATTCCTCAGCCAGCTTTGCTGGGAGTTGAAGTCCACAAGTCTTAAAGTTGCAGATAGAGCTGCTCACCGATGAGTTTGATTGCAGGCAGGGAGATTCAGTTGCTTGCCGATGCAATGGATTGCGTTGCGACCAGCAGCTAAGGTAAGCAAGCTGGAGGCTTGAGGGGGGGGGTGGGAGAAAAAAAGAAACTTTTTTTTCTTTTATATGGCTCTGGCGATCCAAGCTGAGTTGCCTGATTAGCAGGCAACTCAGCTGGGATTGTCAGAGCTTGGCTGGTCAGAGCCATTTAAAAGGAAAAAAAGGCTCTGATGATCGCGCGGCTCAGCTGGGCATGGGGGGTGGGGGCAGGGATTTTTGCTACCGGTTCTCCAAACTGCCCGACGCCATTGCTACCTACTTGCCCGAGCCAGTCCGAACTGGGAGCATTTCACCCCTGGAGCAGAGATACATTCAAACTATCCCCAGCAGCATAATGAATTGATTGAGAAGTTCTTAAATGGCATAGAATTTGAGAGCCGATCAGAACTTATAAATAGTCCCAAAGGTGCTTTTTTTTAAAGAGGCAACTGGACTTCCTGATTTTTCTTTCAAGACGTTTCGTTTCTCATCCAAGAAGCTTCTTCAGCTGTGACTGGATGGTGGGGAATGGAAGGATTTATACTCCTTGCAGACAGCTGGTCATTTGCATTCTTTTAGTGGGTTGTTAAGGTCACTTGGAGGTTTATTTGTGTCATCAGGGTCACCTGAGTGGTGCAAATTGGTGTGGAGCAGTGGTGGGTTTCAAAATTTTTTACTACCGGTTCTATGGGTATGGCTTGGTGGGCGTGGCTTGGTGGGCATGGCAGGGGAAGGATACTGTAAAATCTCCACTCCCTCCCCATTCCAGGGGAAGGTTACTGCAAAATCCCCATTTCCTCCCAATCAGCTGGGACTTGGGAGGCAGAGAATAGATGGGAGCGGGGCCAGTCAGAGGTGGTATTTACCGGTTCTCCAAACTACTCAAAATTTCCGCTATCAGTTCTCCAGAACTGGTCAGAACCTGTTGAAACCCACCTCTGGTGTGGAGCCTTCTTGGAACTGTTGAAAGGACTGTGTTGTAGATTGGAGATGGATGTCGCATCCCTCCCCCTCTGTTGAGAGAAGCCTGTTCAGTTTTGACATAGATAGCCTCTTTGACCCCTCTTTCAAACCATCAATCCTCTCTGTCCAAAATATGGACTTTGTTGTCTTCAAAAGAGCGGCCTGTATCTTTTAAATGCAGAGGGACTGCTGAGTCTAGTCCTGAAGCTTCTTGGATGAGAAACGAAACATCTTCAAAGAAAAAACAGAAAGTCCAGTTGCCTCTTGAAAAAAAGAAAAGCACCTTTGGGATAATCATGACCTGGATGATTGAGAATTTCCACAGACAACTTAATAAATAGGTTTTCTCACCTGGGCTGTATTGAGGGCAGCCCCATAACCAGTGGAGAATCCACAGCCAAAAAGACAGACTTTATCCAGAGGTGCAGCAGCATCAATTTTAACAACGGTAGAGTCAGGCATGACTGTATATTCAGAGAAAGTGCTAATCCAGAGGAAGTGATGAATTTGCTTTCCTTTGCAGCTGAATCTACTGGTTTTGTCAGGCATCAGATTTTGTGGTTCGGAAATGCTGTTTCAGAGATAAACAGACTTGTCAGTAAGAAAAGAAACTTTATGTGCATTGCCCTGAATCCAAAAATATACAAAAAAAAGTTTTTAAAGGAACTCACTGGGTTTTCAGGCAACAGTTGGTGTTTGATTTTAAACATGAGTAGCATTCTCCACACTGGGGCAGACAAAGAGGAATAACTTTGTCTCCTTCAAATACAAAAGAAAAAAACATGAAATCTCTGGATCAAAAGATCACACTTATTACCCACATTTTTATAAATCAAGATTTATAAAGCAGACTTTTCCTGATATATTTGCCATAGTTGAAGCAGCCTTCTGCATGCACTCATTAAAATTCAGATTGTAATTCATTGTGGATTGTGGGAGTAGGGAATACTAAATCAGATGTCCTAGAAGCAGTTTCACTTAAACATATTTAATCATTCTTCATTCACACTATACCACGACTTAGCATATTTAGCATCTGTGGTTTTAAAGTATAAATTTAAGTCTACAATTCAGCTTTGCAATCCATGGTTCATGGCAAATCCTTGGACCATCATTACATAATTTTTCATAGATCAAAGGTTACTTCATCAGGTGCGCAGAGTACAGGTCTGAGAGCAAGAAAATTTATTTTATTATACATACAGCTTCGTTGGGAAGAGGAAGAATGAAATGGTGAAGGAACACTAAGACTCACAATTGTTCTAGATGTGTCTAAATATGAAGCCACATGACAGAGAAATTTGTGCAATGAATAGCCAATTCAGTTAAGTAGTCTGACAAGACGTCCCTGAGCTCTGGTGTAGTCAAGGAAAAATAGTACTATAAACACAGTTCATATAGGTAATTCTCAACTTATGATCACAATTAGGGCCAGAATTTCTCTTGCTAAACAAGGCTGTTAAGTGAGTCACACCCAATCTTATGAGCTTTTCCCACACAGTTAAGCAAATCACTGCAGCTGTTATGTGAATCATTGAACTTTCCCCATTGACTTCGCTTGTCAGAAGGCGGTTGGGAAAATTGCCAAGAGTGGTCACATGACCCTGAGATGTTGCAACCATCATAAATATATATCAGTTGTCAAGCACCCAGATTTTGATAAGGTGCTTATGGGGACGCTGAGAAGGTCATAATTGTGAGGACTGATTGTAAGTCTTTTTTTCAGGGCCCAGAAAAGGGTGGTCTCTAAACAAGTGGTTTTAAGTTAGGACTACCTATAGTTAAACAAATCATGGTCTGTAATATCTGAGCTCACTTCTGTACAATGCAGACTCTATGCAATAGTGCAGTGATGGCTAACCTTTTGTAGACCGAGTGGCCAAAGCGTGCACGCTCGCATCCCCAAAATGCAATGTGTGTGGCCCCCCGCATGCGTCCCGCTCCCGCTTGCATGCATGGCCCCGCTGCATGCGCTCCGCCCCTGAACACATGTGTGTGAGCTTCTCCCCCATGCACCCCCCCAGCGCATGCGCAGCAGAGACCCGAAGACCAGCTGGCTCGTGGGAGGCGTGCGCGGCAAAGCTGAGCTGGGGCGATGGCTCACTTGCCCACAGAGAGGGCACTGCGTGCTACTTCTGGCACACGTGCCATAGGTTCACCATCACGGCAATAGTGTATAGCAAATACAGTATGTTGGATACCCATTATATTTTGAAGATATTAAAATGCACATGGAAAAAGCCAGAGGAATTCTTCTCTGTACCTGGTTTCACACATGTCACTCCTGGCCCAACACTCTCTACTATCCCGGCTCCTTCGTGGCCAGGAATGACAGGATACTCTACTTTGGGGAAAGAACCTTCCAGAACATGGTCATCTGTCCCACATATTCCGGTGGCTATTATCTATAATAGAGAACAAAGAGTTATGTCCAACCATAGCGGATGTTATGTGGGTAGTTACTAGGGGCTTCCAATGATCTATGCATAACAGTCTCATATGAATATGGACAAGCCAATGGATTCTAAACCATGGAGAAAAACACAAATGTAAAAATGCTATTACTCTGATGCCACAGACTATGGGGCAGAAGGCTGTTTATCTTTACCAGTGGAATGCATGCTATTAACTCCACTCATCCATCTTAACCGTTCTCTTAAAGACGGGAAAAAGATGAATAATATTTTGGCAGTGGTTTGCTCTCCAAGCTTGTTTCAGTTTAATTTCTGAATGTTTCGTTACCAGACTGGGTAACATCATCAGCAGGATTGTCTTGTCCTATTCTCCTTAGCTTATAAATGTCTTGTGTGTCAGTGTGATCAGTTGTTCATTTAAAATAAAATAAAATAAATAAACTTTATTGCCATTGTTTGTGTATACACAGTATACACATACAACGAAATTTACTTGACACCCAAAGACCAGGTGCAACACACATAACAATCCCCAAACACCCCCCCACCCACCACAATTCCCCACCCCTAAACCACCCAAACATCCACACAACAACCAAGTAATACTGTCCAACAGCTCACTGATGGTGACCCTTTAGTTCATTGTCGAGTGCAATTATAGCTCTGGGATAAAAACTATTCAGAAAATGTGTGGTTTGAGATTAAATTGTTCTTAATTTGTTTGTTTGTTTGTTTGTAGCTATATTTAAATTCTGAGCTCCAACTGACCACACTGCTGATGATGTTACCCATCTAACTGAGCTGGGAAATCCTGCTCTAATTTATCAGCAGTCTTCTTAATACAGCAGTAATGTAAAATAAAACATTTACCCTGTTTCCCCGAAAATAAGACATCCCCTGATAATAAGCCTAATCAGGCTTTTGAGCACATGCGCTAAAATAAGCCTTCCCCCTGAAAATAAGCCCTCCCCAAAAATATTTAAACGCAGAGATGGAAATCAGGTAAGACAGCAAGAGGAGCCCCATCTTGCTCCACATGCCCCAAAATAATAAGACCTCCCTGAAAATAAGGCCAAGCGCTTATTTCGGGGTTGAAAAAAATATATAAGACAGGGTCTTATTTTCGGGGAAACACGGGTAGTATGGAATTTCCTATGAAATATGAAAGATAAATATCCTATACTTTTATGCCAAATGAAACACTGAAGTAAGATAATTTTAAAACGATATCACATCGTTTCTTGGACGAGGAAGCATTCATGCCCCAATTGCTTCATCATTCGGGAAAATGGGATGGGAGGTTATGCCAAAACTAATATTCAAGCAAATTATGCCAAAACTAATATTCAGCAAATTCCAACTCAGAATGAGTCTTTGCATCCCTGTCCACTCCACTATTTTCATTTAGATCTATGCAGCTGACCTGAGCACATTTAGTAAACCCATTGTCAATGAAACACAATTCCCGTTTACTTTTCTCTTACCTATTTAAGGGTTACCAATGTACAAGTACTTATTTAGCAAACTGCTTGGCAAATGCTTGAAAAATAGATTAAAGGAAGTGACAAGTTGTAGTTTTCCTTTAAGAACAAAACAGTGCTTTCCAAAATAGAGGACCATGGAAAATTACTCAAAAAAATTGAACTACCTTAACACGAACTTCATGAGACCTTGGTGGAGCCACTTCTACCTCTTCAATAGAAAGTGGTTTGCCAACTTCCCAAGCCACAGCTGCTCTACATTTGATAACCTAGGAAAGCCAAACCAAAAACAAATATGTTTAGTCTCATCCTATGCAAAGCACAAAGTAGATGAAATCAACTAGCAGACCTTTCCCACTATTATAACATCACAAGTTGGTCGATGCCTAAAAGCCTTCTCAATGTAGCAGCTCATGGTGGGGTTCATAGAGAACCTCTTATGCCATTCCTGTGGGAGTAATCAGCTCCCTTGAGGCCTCCACAGGAGGCTCAAATGAGAAACCTAATGTCCCATGATTGCACCACAAGCTCTACTCCCTTTGGACAGGCATCATGAAGATGTAAGGTAAAGGTAAAGGTTCCCTTCGCACATATGTGCTAGTTGTTCCCGACTCTAGGGGGCGGTGCTCATCTGTTTCAAAGCCGAAGCGCCAGCGCTGTCCGAAGACGTCTCCATGGTCATGTAGCCGGCATGACTAAACGCCAAAGGTGCACAGAACGCTGTTACCTTCCCACCAAAGGTGGTCCCTATTTTTCTACTCGCATTTGTTACATGCTTTTGAACTGCTAGGTTGGCAGAAGCTGGGACAAGTAACGGGGTGGGCACTAGGGATTTGAACCGCTGAACTGCCGACCTTTCAATCGACAAGCTCAGCATCTTAGCCACTGAGCCACCGCATCCCTTAGGATGTACATGGGTACATGAGGAACAGAACTTGCATTGAAAGGATGTAATGATGCTCTAGTCATTTTAATGAAAGCCTCCATCCTGTAGACACTTCTGTATAACACACTTTTTTGTAATAAAGGAGCACAACAGGGCACACGTGGAGAGATTTCTTTGCCATAAAGGAAAAGTGGAAATTAATTCATCATGTTATCTACTGTACATCTGACAGTGGTAATCTTTCTCATCCCTAGAGTACCCTTTGACTAGAGGGGCTGAAAACTGTAGGTGCTTTTCTACTTTTTGAGACAACTATTAGTGCAAGCTGCAAACAAACTGAGCATACATGTTTTTAGAAAATATGTCCACCTCCTCCTGACAGACTCCCTCTCCCATCAGAAAGTCTGTATTCTCTGTGGCATAACATGAATTCACTTTCCCAAAATGTTAATTCTGGCTTCCAGTCACCTAAAAAAATGCCCATTTTTAATTTACTTTGAAACTTGGACTTGGACAAAGTAGTAAATGAAATGTGATCTACAGCTGAGCTATGACCCCAAGTCTAGTGGTGCAACAGGGCGCCCTTTCCTCTTTGGGCAATTATATATTAATAGTATTATCTTAACAAATAACTTTATTCCTGAGGTTTTTAATCCCCACTCCGTGCAATCAGTGACTTATAATATAGTCTAAAATATTTTCCAGAAATCATATACACGCTAGATAATATATTATACAGTTCTGTATCAAAGTATTATATGTTCTAAGCAAGGGATTAATGCTGCCATGTATGCACTTAGGATTTCCTGCAACTTAAATCCCTAGTTATATATGCTTCAGATGCCAATCTAGCTGCAATAGCATGAAAATTAGATTGCAATTGTAACAATTTTAGGTGGTAGAAAGCCTTCAAGGCAGGGGTGAAATTCAGCAGGTTCTGACAGGTTCTGGAGAACCAGTAGTGGAAATTTTGAGTAGTTCGGAGAATCAGCAAATACCACCTCTGGCTGGCCCCCGAGTGGGGTGGGAATGGAGATTTTGCAATATCCTTCCCCCAGGAGTGGGGAGGGAATGGGGATTTTGCAGTATCCTTCCCCTGCCACGCCCACCAAGCCACACCCACAGAACCGGTAGTAAAAAAATTTGGATTTCACCACTGCTTCAAGGCAATCTTGATTCCTGGTGGCTGCCTGGACAGCTCCCTGAAGTTTTCTTGGCAAGATTTCAGAAATGGTTTGCCATTGCCTGCTTCCAAGGGCTAGGAGAGAGTGACCGGCTCAAGGACATCCAGTTAGCTTTGTGTCTAAGGTGGGATTAGAATTCACAATTTCCCAGTTTCTAGCCTCACGCCTTAACTCCTACATCAATCTGGTAAACATATTTAAATAGAAATCGATCCAACTGAACATACTGTTTGGATTTATTGTGAACAACAAAGAAGTCCACCGCATTTTAGTCTAGCGTATTTTGAGAACGCCGCTCATCTGTGATGTGTTAGGCTTACTACACGAAGCATAGTGCAATAACTACAGCTAAAAGCCTTGCAAGCAAAGCCATTAGGATCTATTTACTTAGGATGTCTCAGTTTAAGGGCAAACCATGATCCAACAAGCAAGACAAATAAATTACTCATTGTCTATGCATTGTGCCAATGAATGGCAATTCTGTCTGGGGGGCGATTGTAGACCAGTGTAGTCCATTATATATTTGAATGCAATTAAACAAACATTGGATTTCTAGCTATAATTCTTGCAGGTTGTTCCATTACGTTGCCATTATTTCACAGAAAGCATGCAAGAAGATATGCCGTCTTAAACTGTGCATTAAGCTCTTGGTTTTGCTTAGCTGTAGTTTGCTGTAGAAGCTATACGTTCTTCTATTAGTTCTACACAAAAGAGGGAAGCACCGGCTATCCTTTACATATCTTAAAAGCGGGGCTCGCACCAAAGATTAACCACAAATTAGCAGATGCATTTCCCGTTTAAACGAGTTTACAGTTTAGATTAGTTTACTTTCTCCCTAAGAAGAATAAACCGTTTCTTACTTTCCCAGAAGTGTCCATGTCTGCAAATTACCCACTGCAACGAAGATCTTTTCACTTCGCTTTCGGAGAACCCTGGTCTATTGCTTTGGAAAAAAATTTGGGGGGGGGGAGCAGAGATAGAAGCGACCGCTAGAGTAACACGGCGCTAGGCACTTGGCTTCCAGCATCCAGATTCCTTTAGTTTAGGGTCAAAGAGCGGTCCAAAGGCAACGCTTTTTTCAGTTAGAACGCTTCGCTTGCCGTAGACATGCCGCGGAGGACTCTGGGGAATGCAGTCAAATCTGCCTACAATATTGCCTACTACGCCATTCATAGAAGCGCTAGATAGCCTGTATCTGAAGGCATCCGCATGTGATAATATACTGACTGTAACCGTCATAGGAAACTTCTTACCTGACAGTCTGAATAAAGGGACTGTGTAAATTCGTTTCCATCTATACATTGACTTTTTCGTATGCAAAGGTGGTGTGAAAGGACATTATTTGTTTTTACCAGAATTTGGGGAAGAAGATTACAAGTCTGAAATACTGTGTATGCAGTATAGGACAATAATCCTTTTTCCTTTTTTTGCTATAGGTGATTTGGAGAGAAGCAGAAGCACGTTCGTCCTCAAAAGACTTTGAAAATAGTTTTTCATGTTGGACTGGGAGCAGAGAAACCAGCAACCAAAGTTCTTTGGGAGATTTGGGTCTCTTTCTCAACCCAATCTGTACTTGCTGTGGGGAAAAATGGGAAATTTTGTGTGATCTCCTCTACATTATGCTGCTGGAGAAAAAGCAGTGTATTAAATAGGTTTATTATTAAATATAATAAATTTAATATACTTATAAATATATTAACATATACTTAACATAAGCGTGCCTACTTCCCTGTCCTAATATTCCTTTTTTACTTACTCTTTTCATGTATTCAAATTACGTTTATACTTTTACCTGTTATCTTATATATGCTTGACAAATAAACTTATGATTATGATTATGATAACAGTGTGATACTTTCCCCTGAGAAATGGGGGATTATCTTCCTCTGTATCTTTCCTCTGCCATGCCTACCAAGCCACGCCCACAGAATCGGTAGTAAAAAAATTTGAATTCCACCACTGGTTAGCATATCTTTTCTGACATGGGTTTCAGCCAGTTCCAGAAAAAGAAATGTGCTATTAACAAAGACAAAGAAATGAAAATGGAGCCTTTGACTTCTGCTCTTGTACTTGTTTGGTTCCTCGGAATTTGATTGTCAGAGTTTTCTGATGTCTTTGCCAATATACCTTGATAGATAGATCTAAACTTCTTTTTGATTCTTTCAATGCCTAAGATGGGGTTTTTCTTTGAACAGCTACGGTAGTGAAAATAAATGTTTTGAAGAGTGGTATTAGGTCAGTAGATATTGCCTTCATTCCTTGTTTGTGGGTTTTCTGAAGGCACCCATATAACCATTGAGGAAGAAAATAAACACGTAATCTGATCCAAGAGGTTTATTATTTTACAATAACATCATATCGGAGTGCCAAAATTACTAACCCAATGGTATCTCAAATCCCTTGGGGATAGTGAATCTCTAGCTTATGTTCTGTTAAGTTGTCCCATCTGTAAGTGAAGTCTCTTCCAAAAATGGTAAGTCCAGGGATGTGATTTTCTGATGAGGAAAAGAATCATAGAATAACAGAGTTGGAAGGGACCTTGGAGGTCTTCTAGTCCAACCCTCTGCTCAGACTATACCCTATACAATTTCAGACAAATGTTTGTCCAATCTCTTCTTAAAAACTTCCAGTGTTGGAGCATTCACAACTTCTGAAGGCAAGCAGTTCCATTGATTAATCGTTCTAATGGTCAGGAAATTTCTCCTTAGTTCTAGAATCGCTTCTCTCCTTGGTTAGTTTCCATTAATTGTTTTTCGTCTTGCCTTTTGGTGCTTTGGAAAATAGTTTCACCTCCTCGTCTTTGTAGGAGCCCCTGGAATACCAGAAAACTGTTATCATTATTTATCAATTATGTTAGTGCTATCAAAGCATTAACATAATCGGTAACCGGTACAAATGGCACAAGAGATTCCTCCAGAAAATAGATGGAAGAAAGAAATTCAAAGAGTCACCTATCCAAGGATTATAAAATGGATTCCCACCAGCTGCTAAGACATTTGATGAAAAGTGAGGAAGATCGACTATTCAGTTCTGAAAGCTCTTTTCTTAAAATTATACAGGAATAGTTCCAGTGTTTGGGAACATAGAGGAATACATATATATTAGGCACAGAGATATGTTAAGGTTGACAAATTTAAGTATCTGTTCTGATTAAATTAAGAGTTGTTCTGAGCAGAAAAGTTAGAGAACAGAAAAAAGATGGTTGCTTAGTAATTTTGCACCAGACCATGAGGGGACTTTGCAAAAAAAATAAATAAGAATCAAAACAATTAATCGAACTGGAAAAGTGAAATTGCTTGACAGTTCTGATAAAGCTTGACTGAATTTGCTTTAGGTGGATAAATAAAAGAGAAAACAAAACTGTGAAACTCTTTTGCTTCGTTTTGCTTTTTAATTGCAAAACATTAAACATGTTCAAACAAGAGAAGATGAAAATGGGACCCTCAACTCAACTTGAATTGCCTACAGGTTGAAAGTAGCATTTGAATCTGTCAACACAAGAGAAGTTATTTAATGTGCATATGATTTAATCTGTTTTGAGGATAGGATTTTTAGTGTGCAAGAATGTTTTGACATGTTAAACTGCCTGCAGAGGCTTAGTGATAGCATCACTGCTTCAATGTGATAATTTCAGGGTCAATGGAATGTATGTAGATAATTGAATATAAAATTAGGTTTCTAAAAACCAAGTAAAGATAGTCTTTGACTAACAATTGGGACCAGAATTTCATTTGCTATAAAATGCTATGTCTCATGTTATATTGATATACTACAGTACATGATTATACAGTAATGGCCAAAATTGTGGAAACCTTTTGGGATTTGTGTATTTTCTAAAACTAGCTAATCACACCACTTTTTTTTGGAGTAGTACCATAAAATTATATATCAATGGATAGATAATTTAATCAAGAATGTAATGCAATAACTTTTATGAAGGATTTTCTATTAGAATAGCAGTTACAGTATAAAGAAGAAAAGTGAAACGTAGAAAAAATGAGATATAAAAAAAATTATCGACATAGAAAAACGAGATATACAAAAATTATTACATCAGTTAATACTTAGCTGGGTAACCTTTAGCATGAATGACGGCCTTACAACGTCTTCCCATGGAGTGAACCAAGTTTTTTAGTTCTGCAGCTGTTATAATGTGAAATCAAGATTGAACGATTGCTTCTATTAACTGAGTTTTATTGCTGGGTCGTTTCTGATTAACAAGTTTCCTTAGTCGGCTCCATAGATTTTCAATTGGGCTATTCCCAGGCCATTCCAGGAGTGGAATATAATTATCTTGAAACTCCCCCCCCCAAAAAGTGGTGTTATTCGCTATCAAACCTCAAAAATACACTTTTCCCAAAAGGTTTCCACAATTTTGGCCACTACTGTATTCTCAGCCTGTATATACTATAGCAATAGCAACAGCCTTAGATTTATATACCGTTCCATTGTCATTTAGAGCACTCTCTGAGCGGTTTACAAATGTCAACATATTGCCCCAACAATCTGGGTCCTCATTTTACTGACCTCCAAAGGATGGAAGGCTAAGTCAACTTGAGCCTGTCAGGATTGAACTCCTGCAGGTAGGCAGAGTTAGCCTGCAATACTGCATTCTAACCACTGTGACACCTGTGCTCTACATACTATAGAAATCAAATCAAATCAATCAATAAAAAGATAACCCACTCATTTGGATCTCAACTATCCCACTTGTTGGTGAGCTTGCTTTTTATCACTATGGGTAAAACAAACTCAAACCAAGATACTTTTCTTCACTATTATTTTCTGTGGTTCTTCACACTTCTGTCTAATTGCTGCCTTTGACAACTTTCTTCTGGTCTAGTTAGGGCTTAACCAAAGTTGCTTCTGATGGTGACTAACATTGGCCATGGAAAGATGCAGGATGTGACAGTCTATCTCACAAACATTTTTAGGACATTCTGCATAGAACGTATAAGCTCAGTCTCTGTTTTCTCTTCTGGAAAGGAAGGATTTTAATGGCCGCTTTTCAGTGCCAGAAAAAAATGCGCCAAACAATGTTTTGGAACTATATTTCTATTCATTGTTTAAAACAGATATACAATTGCAATTTTGGAGGAGTAATTTGGAAGCCAAAGCAAGCAGCTGGCAGCTAAAAACAGTCCTGTGTACTCATTTGTAATGCTTTCTGTTTGTAATTCTATCTGAAATCACAGACTGCATTGGAAGAAGGCTGACAACCATCATTGGGATTGGATCAGGCCTTTGAACCACTATATCGCCTGTAAAAACAAAGGCAATCGTCATGTTGATGATTAAAGCACCTATCTGCACTGGAAATGTGCCATGGACTTCAGTTAGATATAGATTTACAACACAAACCTGTGTTTCTTTAATATATTGTTTTGAACTTTTCTGTTAAAAGACATCAACTAGTGAGTAAATCTGAAACAGTTTATAAGTAACATTTTTTATCAAAGAACTAAAGCTCTTTCCAAAAAAACAAAAATCACCTCCAAATTTATGAGGGTTTAGATATGCCCATAGAGTGCAAATCTGTGTTTATGTAACATATTTTTTAAATGTTTCTATAAAAAGAGCCTTGGTGGCGCAGCAGACTAAAGTGCTGTTAAGTAACACCAGCTGCCTGCAATTACTGCAAGTTCAAAACTCACCAGGCTCAAGGTTGACTCAGCCTTCCATCCTTTCGAGGTAGGTAAAATGAAGAGCCGGATTGTGGGGGCAATAAGCTGACTTTGTATAAAAAAGAACACCGCTTGGGGGGGGGGGAAGCCCTACTAAGCAGGTATATACAAAAGTATGAAGGCTATTGCTTAACACATTGTAAGCCGCCCTGAGTCTCCGGAAAAGGGCGGCATATAAATCGAACCAATAAATAAATAAATAAATAAATGAATAAATGAATAAATGAATATGATGAATAAATAAATAAATAAATAAATAAATAAATAAATAAAAAATAAATAAATAAATAAACTACTGTGTTCCC